TAATAATAAATTTTTTAAAAGTCTTTTTAAAACTTAAGTATAATGAAAAAGGGTCACCAAGCCAGGCCCTTGCCCCCTTCCCAGGGCCGGCATGACAGGAACAGAGACCCCATGCAGACAGAGCCAGGCCCAGCCCCCTCCATCCCTACTCCGTGGTCCTGGTCCTGGGACAGGTGCCATCTGGGGATGGCAGACACTCAGGCCACAGACACCACATCAAGTGGGCCAGCTGACGCTCCTGGGCCAGCTCCCGACCCCCACCCTGGACCTTTCAGTCCAGCTCTTCCTGCCACATCCACGAGGAGCACCCAGCCCTCTGCTTCGGCTCGGTCACTTGCCCCCCGAGAAGTGGCTGAGATTGCAGCTGCCCCAGAAGGCTTTCTCTGGCCCCCCTTGGCCCTCTGCCTCTCTGTTCTGGCACTGTCTCTGTCACCGGATGCTGCGCTCATTGGCAGAGCCGGGGAGAACCGCGTTCTGCATGCTGTCAGGACACGTGATTTTTTTTTAAAGAAGTGAAACAGAGGGATGAGGCCGGGGACCCTAAGAAAGCAGAACAGGACCCTGGTTCTGGGTTTTCGAACCATGTTCCTCTGTAGGGACCATAAAAGGAGCCAGAGAAGGGAAACTAAAAGAAACCTTTACCTTTTGTGTTGTCTGTATCAGATTTCCTTAAAGAGCCTCCGCTTCTTAAAACCATAATAGAGAAATCTAGCCTGGCCTGGCCCTGACTTGATAACAATGGTCAAAGGGGAATGGGGAATAGGACTTGCCCGTGTAATAAGGCCTGTACCAGGCTCTCCCAACCAGAACCATGCTCTTGCCTGACACAGCCTCCCATGAGGATTAAAGAGAGCACAACTTCCACCAGGATTTCTGCTGCTTATTTTATTTTAACAGTCAACTGTCCCCAAAGAAACCCCTCATGTCACACCCCATTCAGTTGCACCATTCTGTTCTCAGAAAACTGCATCCATGCTTTCAAATACAAAAACATCAAATAATGAAACTTGAACAGATTTTTAAACCAAAAACGAGACCTATTGTAGCTTCAACTTGGTAGAGGGGAGGGAAGTGGCTTCAGTGGTTAGGATGTCTTCCAGCAAAGGGGTGAGGGGCACAGCCAGGACAAGACGGGACGCTGCAGAACCTGCTGTCAACGCCCCAGGCCTGGCTGCTGCACCCATAGCTCTGGTGCCTCAGAAGGCTGAAGTAAATGGTACCTTCTGTCCTGAGTGGCACCTGAGGAGGTCAAAGGCTGCCCCTGAGTGAGTGCTGAACAGCACTCAGGATGGTTAAATTCATTCCTAATGGGAGCTTCACCAGCCCCACTCCTCAGAGCCCTGGCCTCCTCTTGCCATGTCTTCCCCCACGGTCTTTCCAACCCCACGGCGCAGGATCAGAGACCTCAGAAACCACGCTCCTTCCTTCTATCTCAAAATGGGAGTTAACTCCCACCTTACGCCTCTCAATAGCCCTCCTCCCCGCACAACATTGAACAAAGATGAGAAAATCGCTGCCGCCATCCCTGACACCCACCATCGGCCTGCAGGGCGGCGGGTTTAGTCAGACTGCTCCTGCGATGAGGGTGGGCGGGGCTCGCCCTGCACCTCCACATCCTGGTCGTCTGAGAAGGACAGAGAAGACAGCCGGATTTAGAAAGAGGGTGAGTCACCTATTTTCAGATACAGGTTTTCTACAAGGTTTTCTCCCTCTTCCCAACTTTGTGGAGAGTGAAATTTTCCTTTAATTTGCTGAGCAAGGAGATTGGTAAATGTGCTACAGATCTGACCAGCTCTAGCTGCCAGCTCTAACTCCACCCCTCCCAAGCTGGTGGCAGTAAGCAAGGTTCCCCACAGCTCTGACCCTCAGCCTGCCTTTCTGTGAGATGCTCCCACCCTGATGGCTCTAGGATAAGTGAAACAGTAAGTGACAGCTGACCCACTAACGCCTTCATGGCTTCGGGGGGTTCTACTCTGTCCTCAGAATAAGCTCACGAGAAGGGACCCTCACGAGGCAAGCTGACTCCTGCAGATGCTGGGGCAGATGCAGTAAGGCAGAAGGGGCTAGGAAGACTGAAAGGAAGAAAGTCCTGTGACCTTTAAAGCCACAGGGCTCTCAAACCCTGAGGCATCCTCACATCCAGAACTCCATGGACGCCCCACCAACAACCCGGTGAGGAGGTGAGAAGACCGAGGCTGAGAGCTCAGGTCTCCTGGCGCAGCAGTGGCAGAGCCACGCAGGCAGGCTCTCAGGCTCTTGTCGGCGTCCCTCCAGAGTGCCTCCTGCTGTGGCTCCAGGTTCAGCCTCCGCTGTCCCTGCACAGAGGTCCTGTCCAGCCAAGAAGCCTTGTCTCTGGTTTGCATGACAGCGTGCAGGAGGTGTCCTCTGCCCCTGTTCATGGTGCCGATATGGTGAGGAGTGAGGACTGGACTTGGAGCCACGCAGTTCTGCTCAAATCCTACCTGCTGTTCACATCCAGAGGGACCTCTTGGGTGCCTCAGTTTCCCTTGGATGTGTGCTTGTGGAGGCTGCGTGCAGGAGGGTGTGGGAAAGAGTTTTTTAGCCCAGGGCCCAGCGCAGTCTGAACCCCGTGTGCCCTGTCCCTTGTCTCCATCCCTAGTTCAGATGGCTCCCCCTCCAGAAGGCCAAGCTGGCTCCCTGGAAGTGAGAAGCCTATCTTACCCGAGCTCTCAGACTGGATGTTCAGTGAGAAAGTTGGGGGTGGTGGTGGCAGCGGCGGCGGCGGGAGAAGCTGCAGTCCGGAGAGGAAGCCTGGTGGGAGGACCAGGGGCTGCTGCTGCAGCTGCGGCGGTGGCAGCAACGGTGCGTAGTAGTTTGGGTGGAAGTTTCCCATGGGTTCCGGCGCCTGCGTGCACAAACAGCAGAGGCAGAGAGGGCAGATGTTAGTCAGGCGGGCTGATCAAATGTGTCTCACTCTCCGACCGCCTCTCCCCACTGGGGCCCAGACATCCGGTGCAGAGCACTTGGAGCAGGGTGCTCAGCAAAGAGCCAAATCCTTGGCACACCCTGGATAAGCCTGGGACCAGCCAGGGCACCACGCGTAGAGCCTGGCGACACAGGAGTAGGTTCTCCTACTTCCTGGCTGGACTGATGCAGTAGGGGAGGGTGAGAGGACCTACAGGGCTGAGGAGGGGTCTCAATGCATCCTAACCCTGCAGAGCACCCTTGCCTGGCCCATGTAATAATTTTAACCCAAGTTTTAATGGTGGGGGAGTACAACAAGCTGGGTGCAGCCCAGCTGTTCTGGGGTTAGGCAAGTAGGGTGACTCAGGCAGTCCTGCCGTGCCACCCCCAGGCCCAGCAAGGGCATCTGCCCAGCTTGGCGGCGCTGCACCAGAAAGACAGTGGCACATGATTCCCACTGCATCCTAGATGTGGTTCTCCGCAGGGGCCTCCCAGCACACGTCCCAGGGTGCCAGTCAAGGACCACACGTGTACAGGGCAGTGCTCATGCTCTGCCTAATGTTCTGCCAGGTGGGATCGAGGAACCCCGCCTACCACTCCCACGTTGGAGGGCCACGTGCAATGTATGGAACACGCCCCTGATGGCTTGGACCACCCGTGGAACACACATGACTGTCCCATCCCGCGGCTCGTACCACTGGTGGTACAGATGGAACTAATCACTTTTATTGGCCTTTTTACTAATAAAATGAATAAAAAGTCTACAAACAGACCGAATCTAATTAGTTGCTCGAATCTGTATGATGGCTGCCTAAATATAAATATTAATATTCATACAATTAAAATTATTACAATAATCAATAAATTTACTTCACTATATTTAAAAATTATAAGGCAGCTAATTTGTACAGTGGGTGAAACATCATAACACATTTTGCTGCCATAGCAACACCCATTTTTTTCAGATAGTCATGCATGTACCATGGGTGATTCAAGCCTATGGGATGATCAAATTCAACTCAGAGCTGCCCAAAATACACAAATTATAACCCCACTGTGCATCTGTTAAGGCTCTGGGTAGCAAAAATCTTAAACCAGCATTTCCTAATTTAATTTGACCACAGGAAGAGAAGAAAGCCCACTTTTAAGCACCTACTATGTGCCAGGCCCAGTGCTAGGCACACCTTACTCAACCTCTTACGAGGCGGTACTCTGACTGCCTCTGACAGACCAAGAACCCGAGGAGGCTCTGGAGGAGGGGAACCTTCCCCAGAATGAGTGGCCAGCACACAGCAGAGACTGAGGCAGGAGACTGAGGCACTGCAAAATGGCTGAGCAGCTGCGGAGGACAGCCCAGATCTGACATCAGAATGGTAAGGTTAAAGGCAGCAGCCATTAGCCTCGTGGCCACTGCCTGCTTCCTAGACACCTCTGTTTTCTTTTCATCCTACTTTTACCTTTCCCCTCACTTTTACCTTTAATCATTGTAAAATCTCTACGTTCTTCAGTTTTCTCACCCAAATCTTTGAACGGGACAAGAGCACCTCAGCACCTGGTAACAATGTGGGACTGAACCCTACGTTTGTCCAACTCAGGCCTCGCCCTCTAAGAAAAAGACCGGAAGAAGCACAGAAGCAGCAGGTGGGCAGGGTTCACCTGGGAAGTTATCTAAAGCTTGTGCAGGTGACAGCAGGACACGGGTGAAAGTAGCTCACGGGCTCTTGGGTTGGAAACAGCTTCACGAATAAACACCTGATCCTCCCTCCAGATGTGAAGGGAAGGGGGACTATTAGTACTTTAATCCAAGCTGCTCAGCCAAGTCTCTCCCTGGATCACAGCTCCTGCATGGGGCCTGTGGTGGCAGCTCGGCCCACATAAACTGCCTAGATCACACTCTGAACAGAGGCCGTCTGGCAGGCCCTGGGCTTCTGTGTGAGCAGCCGGTGTGGGTTCCACTTGGCCACAGCCCCTCTTTTGTGGAGGCTGGAGATACCCTGCTCTCCCTGGGCTGTGATGGGGTGGCCAAAGGCAGCGCCCACACCTTTCAGGCCGAGCAGCTGAGGTGGCCGAGGGTCACGAGCCAGGTTTGCTCCATCTCTCCATGAGGGGCATCCGTGGGGCAGCAGAAAGGCCCTGGGCTCCAGATTTTAGACAGCGGTGATCCAACCAACTGTGTGATAGGAGCCCCAGTCCCTCATTCCCTCTTGTGGTCTTGGACAAAATTTTAACTTCTCTGAACCTTTTTTTATTGACTCTACCTTGGGGTTAAAAAAAAAAAGCTACCTTGACAGTTCATAAGGGTCAGTAGGAACCCTCGAAATTATCAAGACCAGTGGCATTCAAAGACTTTTTTCTTTGAATCAATAGAAAATGATGTATAAGTAAAAAAATGTTCAAAACCTAAAATAAGAGATGCCGCTGGGCCGAGCCCTCTGGGTCTGACTGGACTGCACAGCTGACCCCATGGACCTGCTCCCAGTCTGCGGTCGGTGACTTCCAACACATAAATACCAAGCTTTTGTCTTTCTTCTTCGCCCTGTACCACAGTGAACAAGCCTCTCTATCCTCATTTCTCTCTACCCCGGGAAAACATCTTAATAGATGCCTATGGTCATGCTTTCATCCTGAGGGAAGACGTAGAGGTAATGGTGGCTACCATTTCTCTGAACTTGCTCTGTGTTTGAGTCTACCTCCCCCTCAGGTCCAGCTTCACAGGGCCTAAGTCAGGCCTAGTCACCCAGCCTGCTCCCACCCTGGAGAACGAATAGCCCCAGAGGCTTCCAAAAGAGAGAGAGAGGACTTTTAACCATCCTAGTATGGAGACAGCTAGTAACCAAGGCCACAAACTTGGTCACTCCTGCCTCATACTCCACACAAGAGAGGTGACCTGACCTTTTAAACAATTCAAAACTCCAGGCGGTTAGTAATCTAATAAAAGGATTACATCTCATTTATTCATTCTAATTCTTTCCTAAGGTTAAGGTGACAAGTGCTTGGGGGATGTTTACCATATTTTTCCTCACTCGGCATAAATGTCACCTCTTCCTGAAAGACCTTTGCAGTCTCGAGCTATACCTGTGGGCAGGATACCTCTGTCTAGTCCTCACTGCATGAAGTTGGTAGCTGCAGGAAACTGTTATTTCCTCTCTGGTGCTAGCAGAACGAAGGCCCTTCTAGCATCTGCATCCCAGAAGTCAAGAACAAAGGTCACTTGTGGGATCCTAGAGCCTTCTGCCCCCAATTCTGGAAAACACATGCCACGGCCCAGGCATGCAGACCTGTCTGCTCATGGCAGTCTCAGAGCCACACCACTGGTGGTTCATAACTGGCTTCCTACACCAAGGACCCACAAAGGCAGCAAGGGCAGCAGAAAGCACCTGGGCTCCAGAGGAACAGGAGGAACCTGGCAAGGAGTCAGGGCTGGGACTCACCAAAACTCCTCTTTGGTAGCCAGTGCAGGTCACATGCCGGAAGCCCTTCTGCATGGCTGGGGATGCATCGTGGAAGCCCAGTGGAAGATGGTGGCAGGAGTACATGGTGGAGTAGCCAAGGTACATCTTGGAAGGATCTCTCTCCAGGTACTCAGCCCCCACCACGGCGTCCGAGTTGATGCTCAGAGGGCACCCTGAAGGAAGAAAGCAATGAGGGAAGCATTAGAAACACAGCTGGGAAAAAAAGCAAGGATAACAGTATAATAAACATTCACGTCCAACTACAAAGTCTTATACTGTGCTTTTGACCTCACTAGTCTTCAATCCTTCAACCACTGCTTTTGCATCCATTTTAAGGCCTTTGTAGGTATGGAAGACTTTTGCTTCTAATTTCACATTGGTTAAGTCCTTAGTACAGACAACCCCTGATTTACAATGAGTTAATAATTTTTCAACTTTATGATGGTACAAAAGCTATAAGCATTCAGTAGAAACTACACTTTTTTTTTGATACCAGGGCTTGGATCATGACCTTGTGCTTGCAAGGCAGGAACTGGTGCCACTGAGCTAAATCCCTGGCCCCAGAAACCATACTTTGACTTTGCATCTTTTCTAGGGCTCATAATAAGCAGTAAGATACTCCCTTGAGATGCTGGGCAGTAGCCATGAATCACAGCTCCTTGGAGCCAGGCCAGGGGAAATAACTGCTATTCTACAGTGGACTGTGTTGCTAAGCTAGGGTGTTCGGTAGGTTAAGCGTAGTCAGTACATTTCCATGTGTAGTCAGGATATTTCAATTTATAGGGGGCTGATCAGGAGAGGTAAGTCAAGAAGCATATGCATTCAGCTCTACCTTCAGACCACAACTAAATTATCAATTATTAGAGCTCCAAACATTGATTTGTGTTATTCTTTGATCAAGCTCCCTGAAGGAAAGGAATATGACTCTCTCGTCCTGATTGCTTCATACCATTGGCATCTGGCACTATAAAGTGCTCAGTTCCTGTTGAGACACAGTTCAAAGAAAAGCACCTATATCATAGGAAAGGTAGCCTTCTCCTAGAATTGTGGCTTCAGGTCTGCCAGCCTCATCAGACAGCTAGTTGCTTGCAGGGACCTAGGCTTTCTTAGTAAGGCCCAGAAGGTAGAAATGCTCTACAGAGAGCATCCTGACCAATTCCCTTGGCCTAAAGAAGGGAAAGACTGGGGCTAAAAAAAAAGGAACTTGTTTAAGGATAACAGCCTCCCAGCCTCCTGACTCAAGCCTGTGCCCTTTCCACATTGCTATGGGCAAAATACCAAAGAAATTATGTGTCTGCACTCAAAAGGAGTTGCTTTTTAAAAAATTAATTTTATTAGTACATTTAATATATACAATATAATGACATTCATCATTGGCAATTTGCACCTTTACATAATCCATCTTGGTTCTTATTTTTTCCCCATTCCCCTTCCCTCCCTCTCTACAAAGACTGTTTCCATTTTTTCATTTTCTTATATTAATTCTATTCTCTCCTTTCCTTTCCCTTACCTCTCCCATTTCCCCTTCCCTGATGCCCCTTTTCTTCCTATTTCACATTATGCAAAGGAGTTGCTTTTTAGAAAAACCTCAAATCAACAGGTAACTTGAAATTATACTTTAATACCGAAAGAGCACAACACAGGTAATAATGTCATTTGTGCACAAGTTCAGAAAACAGCAACCCAACAGTTCTCTCTTTTTTTTTTTTTTGGTTATTTGAGACAGGAGACAGTCTCACTATGTCGTTGAGACTGACCTAGAACTCACTGTGTAGCCCAGGCTGATCTCGAACTCACAGCGACCCTCCTGCCTCAGCCTCCCAAGTGCTGGGATTACAGGAGTGCGCCACCACGCCTGGCCCAACAGTTCTCTTATGCACAGTACAAAAGTTGTTTTATAACCACCTACACGCAGGAAAAGGGTGGGAAAAGGTGCACGGGCATTGACCAAAACAGAAAAGAGGAAGGAGCCTCAAACCACAAGAGAGGGGGTTGCACGAGCGCAGAGACAATTTAATTCCCCTAAAGGTAAATTCTAGAGAAGTTTCTAGCCCAAGAAAATGGCGGGGAAAAGCGCGCAGGCGCAGGCCGTCAGACCCAAAAAGGGCGGTATTCTGGGCGGTCGGTAAGAGGCGCGCACGCGCAGTAGTACCGGTTTGTCCTAGCGAGGCCCCCCCAACGAGGCGCCGCAGCTAAGCCTAGCGGGAGCCATTTGCAAAGCGTAAAGGCAAATACAGCCGCTAAATGTTAAATGCCCCCTACAACACCCAGTCCTTTCCACCCCTACTTTTTCTTTTTCGTAAAAAGGCAGCCCACCCAAACTCCCGTTCAAAGGTTTCTCCAGGCAAGGGGACTGTGGAAGGCATTTTCCCCTTCCTCAACCACCTCGCTCCTGCGCGAGCCTAGGCCGCCATCTTGGGAGCGCAAGACTGCAGTCCCGCAAGGAAACGATGGCGGGACAAGGCCGAGCGGGGCCAGGGACTTACCGAAGTCAGCGTACACCGGGCTGGGCACAGGTCTCAGCGGCTCCGGGCGGCCAGGGTACAGCTTGCATGCAGCCTCGGGCCCGAGTCGGGGCCGGCAGCTGGCGGGGGCCCCTGCGCCTCCAGGGCCGCTTCCTGTCCCTCCTCGGCCGTCTGCCTCCTGAGTACCTTCTGCCTGGCCGTGATCTTCTGGCGCTCAGTAATCAGGCAGCATTTCTCACAGTGGCACTGCTTCCAGCGACAGTTGCCTGCATGGCCCTTGACCGGTACCACAAAGCCGTGGTTCCGGCACGGCCGGCAGCTGGCGGGGGCCCCTGCGCCTCCAGGGCCGCTTCCTGTCCCTCCTCGGCCGTCTGCCTCCTGAGTACCTTCTGCCTGGCCGTGATCTTCTGGCGCTCAGTAATCAGGCAGCATTTCTCACAGTGGCACTGCTTCCAGCGACAGTTGCCTGCATGGCCCTTGACCGGTACCACAAAGCCGTGGTTCCGGCACCTAGAGCACTTGGGAGTGCGCAGCATGGCGTGAGCCTGCTTGGCAAGGTCTCCACACAACCGCCACCTCTGCGAGCTGCGCGGCAAGTGGAGAGGGATGTGTGGCGCCCCACAAGTCCCTGGTGCTGGGGACATTTAGATACACTTGTATCAAAGCAGTGATTAGTGCGTCCTAGGAGCTGCAGCAAGACCCTTGCATTTTCCCTCCCCCTTTTTGCTGGTGCAAAAGTTGGAGAGTTTTAGTGCCTTGAATGATGAGGTGCAAGAGCTTGGGCTGAATTACAGCAAAACAGGAGGCCGTTGCATGCACATCATCTAGGTTTTTTGAAGTCTTAGCCATTCCAAAAATTTCTATTTTGAAACACAAGATATTCGGTAAAGTTAAAAAAAAAAAAAAAAAAAAAAAAACAACAGTCCACAGATTCAAAGCTCCTGAGGATGCAATGCTTAGTTACCACTGCAGTAAAAAAAAAAAACATTGGAAAGCCTCCATTTCGCCCCTCCCTGAAGCTGAAGCTTATTTCATTTCTCCCCCTGGTGGAGAAGGAGCCATTCATAGTGATGCTTCCAGAATATTCTCAGATCATTTGTAGTATGATAGTTGCTCAGGGTGTGGCCCCACAGAAATTCTGATTTCTTGAGGCTTGTTGGTATGGGAATGCATTTCTAAAAGTAGCATATTGCTGTTGTTCATACCTTCCATAGTAAAGATACATCCAGTCCCTGTCCTGGTCTCCTCAGTACTGCCCTCCCCCCCCCACACACACTAGGGATTGAACCCAGGACCTTTACCTGAGCCACATCGCCAACTTTTTTTTTTTTTTTGGCAGTATTGGGAATCGAACTCAGGACCTTGTGCTTGCAAGGCAGGCAACAGCGCCACTGAGCTACATCCCTGGCCCGCCAATGTCTTTGTTTTTGTTTTTTGAGAAAGGGTCTGCGCTGTTCTTTCGGGCTGTCCTTGTGCTCACTGTGTAGCTCAGGCTGGAATTGAACTCACAGCAGTCCTCCTGCCTCAGCTTCCAGAGTGCTGGGACTACAGGTGTGTGCCGTCATGCCCAGCCCCTTTGTTATTTTTTTTGAGACAAGTTCTCACTAAATTGTCCTGGCTGGGCTCAGACTTGCCATCCTTCTGCCTCAGCCTCCTAGAATGATGGGATTATCCGGTGTGCACCAGCATACCTGTATTTTCCTTTTTTTTTTAAAGGTAGTGAAGTTTTAAATTTATTAGAGGTAGGAAGAGAAGTATACTCTGCAGAGTTAGTGTGGGCCAGTTAAAGGTAGGAAAAGAAGTACATTCTTTGGAGTGAGAGTGGGCCACTGAAGAGAGAGAGCACAGTGGCACAGGCTTTTGTTTTCAAATAAATTTAAAATTAAATGGGGATATATTGGCACTAGTGTGAATCATTTAGCGCTTATGGATTTAGTTTTCCCTGTAAAGCAACTCAAATCTAGGAGAAAGCTGCTGCAAACTTTATAGTTCACCCAAGAACATTAAATTATTCATATTCTTTGTTGATAGAAACTTGTGACATCTGAGGTCTTTCTTATTATTTTGGTCCAAAAATGTAAGGAGGGCACTAATACCAGTGCTGAAAATCTTATCACAGGTTGAGTCATGTTTAAAGAGGAAGTTTTAGGTAGTACCTGCCTAAAACAAGCATGTCTTTCATAGCCCTTTGAAATGTCTTTTTCTGGTGATTGGGTAGACGCCCAGGCCTGGGGTCCACCTTGATTTTCCTGAGTCCCGGATTGCAGTTCTTTGCATTTCTCTCCAGCTGTTTGGGAATAGGAAGTAGGGACCATTTCGAGGCTCGTTAGACCTGAGAGCTGAAAAGAGGTTCATAAGGTCTTTTTCTGCTTTTAATAAACATATTCCTCATCTTAACAAGAGGGCAAAAATATGTTTCCTGTATCATTTGGCTCTTCAGGAATTTTACTGATAGCTCTACGTACATTTAATAGGGGCTAAGTTTGTCTCTCGCTAATATCTTCCATGTTCATTTTATGCTTAAAACTATGGTTCCTTACAGGACGGGTAAGCTCTTTTTCTGACTCCATCTAATTCAGAATGTCTAGTTTTTCACTGACTTTGTCATTTGAAAATGCTGCCTAGAATCTGGGTGCAGCTTGATTTCCTTCAGGCTGAGTCAGGAGGATCGTAAGTTCGAGGGCAGCCTGTGCAACAGCAAGACCCCTGTCTCGGGGGAAAAATAGTACTTAAAAATCATAATACTGTCAAAGAATCCAGAGCATAAGCTGTATTGAAAAAAATGGTACTGCAAGCTGCATGGTCATTTTCTGCATTATCAAGTTTAAATTTGAATATCAAGTAACGTCCGATCATAAGGCATAAAAAAGAAAACTACTCATTTACATTTCAAGCTTGACTACCCAAGCGGTCTTCATTTTCTCATTAATGATTTAAAGGAAAATCCTATTCAAAAATCAAGCTATTTGAGTTAACATAGTTTAGCCTTATTAAATACAAAATGCTTCCATATTTGCTTTATAGCTTTAGGGGCAAAATATACCCAAGGTGATGTGAATTTGCATAGTGCTTTGAGAACATTAATAAGCAACCATATATCTCTTAAATCAGTACACACATTATGAGATGCAGAAACCTTAGGGGTTATACAGTAAACAAATCTAAGAAGAAGAAAAAATGATTAGTTTACTTCTCTCTTCCCCCCAAAGTCTCGCTACATTTCAGTAGAGCTTTATTTATTTCACTCTAGGAAATTCAGGCAAATTGATAGTTTTGTCTTATTTAGATTTTTGGCTGGTGATTTCTTAGGCTGCTGCTTTTGAAAAGAAACACATTTACCATGCATTTTTTTAAATTGTTATTTTTTAAAAAGTCACATGAAATAAAAGTAGGAAAGTAGAAATGAAAACGGATGGGAGCTACTTCCCTTCCCACACCTAAACCTTAGGATATTTATATTTAAGAAAGTCAGCATCAGGCGGGGATTAGCTCAGTGGTTTCACCGCAAGCACAAGGTCCCGAGTTCGATCTTCGCTACCAAAAAGCCAGAAAGCATCATGAGAGGCAAAAGTAATAAAGTAATATGCTACAGTTGCTGAGGAATCACCCATTTGATTAACTGATCACACAGGGACTGCTTAGGGAGCATATCTGACGCCCAGCTTTAGATATGGCCTCTTTTCCCGCCAACTTTTCTAATGCCTCTTCTCTTTGGTTAATATGATTGTTATTGGTAGTGTTTAATTCATGTTCATTATAAAGAGCCTTGCATTGTATGGTCCATGGGGGTATCATTTGTGATCATTAAATATTGCAGGTACCACATTGTTTCCTTATTGGTAGCACTCAAGAGTAAGGAAAGCCTTTCTTTCCTATAGTATCTTTCCCCCAGCAGCTCTAACCTAGATATCTACCCTCTTCCCTTCCTTCAAGTTCTGTCTAGGGAGCAATGAAAACTTTATTGAAGATTTCCTGGAGAAGGGGAGGGGAGGAGTTATATATATCTTGTAGCAGATGCTGTAAAGTCCTGCCCTAGCATTTCTCTGACCCAGGATCTTCCCTTGTGAGCTACACCCACTGGTGCTGTGGTCTGACCTGCCACCTCAGGACTTGTCTCTCTAGTTCCCTCTCCTTTCTAAATATTTGGCCAGCCTCTTTAGTACGTGACGTGATTTCTTGTTTTTCTCTATATCTTGCACAAAATCGTCAACACTTTGTGAAATGTAGAATGAATCCTTCTTCCCTCCCCTGCCAGTATCAAAGTTATCCTCTCTCTAACTGGTGTAGGAAATCGGCTTGGCTTCAGCACTTTCCCCAAACATCATGCAAGTGCTTAGTAAAGCAGAAAACCCACAGTGATTGGGTTCACTCCTCTGATGACAAGGATTAGAGGATCGATTTTGATTCAGGGCCTACCCTTAATGGTTAATAGTAGTAATAGTAAGAGCTACCATTGACTATGCACATGCGCCAGGAATCCTTAAATTCTTCACATGTATTAATTCATAAAATCCACACTATGATTCGACAAGGTAGATATTGTTATTGCCACCCCTCATTTCATGTGTGAAGATCCCAAGGCCTAGAACAGTTGAGAACTCAAGGTTTCAGACCCCTTATGTAGCAGGGCCATGATTCAAAACTAAGAAATCAATTCTCAAAGTCTATATTCTTAACCATGTATTTGCTAAGCCAAATATTGCTTCTATACAAAACACTGCTCTCCCAAGAAAGTTTTGTTGAGGAACACATTTATTTTTCTTTTTCTGTTGTTATACTGGAGATTGAACCCAGGGCCCTCACCCCATTTTATTTTTGAGCTAATTTGTTAAGTTAACCAGAGTCAAACTTGGAAATCCTCCTGCCTCAGCCTCCCAGAGCCCTGGAATTACAGGGATGCTAGAAATGTTTTTCTTGTTATATATTTCTTTACAGTTGGGACAAAAGGGGATGAAAGTAGAAGCAAAGCAGGGAAAGTTCCTAGGATGCCCTGCTTACCTGCTTTTTCCTACCCAAGGCTGAATTTACTGAGTGCCAAGTATGTGGTAAGTATGAAGCATGAAGAAATTTAAAAAACCAATATCCTTGTTTTTTAGGCCTACATTCTGGCTGGCAAACTAGACAATAAAATAATTCCATTGGGATGAAATGTGGGGTGATGGTACCAGTCCCAAGTCTGGGCTGCTCACCAATCAAAAGCCAATACTCAAGAGACAAAGTTGGTGGGAAGGGAGCGAGTGGCACTCTAAGGCCAGCCTGGAGAAGCCCATAAAGCCTCACCGTGGGGAACTCACGTACACCAAGGGGCTCTTCCAGGGAGGGAAAGCGGGTGCAGTGAGCAGGGAGACTACGTACTGAGCAAAGACTCTGTCATCCCAGTGTGTGTCTCCTTTACTCTCCTAATGGCTAAGTATCTAAGTAATAATCAACCTCCTGGGGCTAGTTCCTCTATTTCTTGGATTTATTGCTGCAAATCAAACCTCACTGCAATTTGCATGCTTGTGGTAACTGACGCACAGAGTTAAAGGATAAGGAGTGGCTCTGCACATCCTGGTAGTATCTGAGGGCCTCTAGATGTTCTGTCTCTAAACCTGAGGGAAGGTTATTCAGCAGTTACCATCTTACTCACTTAGGTGCAGCTCTTTGGAATTTAGAATGCTGGGCCATGAGAGGGGATGTAACCTAACAAAGGACGACTCAGAAAGGAGTGGCCGCACACAGAGACCCTTAGATGCTAGGGGAGCCCACGGGGACTCCTAACCCGGCTTGAGAAACCAAGGAAGACTTCCCTGGGGAATGTTCAGCTGATGGCCAAGAGGTGAGTAGCAATCAGCTGGGTCTGAAGCGGAGGAGGTGCGCCCTGCATGTTTGCGGGCTTGGAGTGCAGCTGAGGTACAGTGAGGTGGGTAGTCTGGTGAGAGGTGAGGTGAGAGGTGAACAGCAGCCGGGGTGTGGAAGGAGTCCTTGGAGGAAAGTGTGGGAGCTGTGATCTAGGTAGGACTGAGGAGGGGAAATGACACAGCTCCAGCCAACTGCAACCATGTCCAAACTACAACCTTGGTTATCCTTTCAGAAAGCATGACAGTGAGTAATTAGGACGCCCACACGTGCTGCAGAGTTAAAATGGAGCTCTTTAAATAGGGTTTCCTTGGGGTGATGATTCCAAGTGGGGTGTACGTTCCCAAAGCCACATGGTGCTAGGCAGGAGTCCCTCCTCCCTGAGCCTGGAAAGGGGTTCAGAGGGTTGATTCATCCGGCCTCCCCTTAAGTCTTAAAGAGGTGAGGTGCAGAGCAGGAAGGAAGGCAAAGGAGTGAGAGGAAAGAGCAGGGTGCAGTCAAACAGACCAAAAGCTACTGCTGTGTGATTCTGCTGTCGAGGTTGCACCAGTGAAGATGGCAACACGCCGTCCCGTGGAGCAGTGGAAGGTACCCCATCCTGCAGGGGCAGCGCGCTTAACTGCAGCTGAGTGAGATCCAATAGCCCTATTTGTGGTTTGTTTTTATTTGCTAATTTGACGAAAATTTATTTACTTAGACACAAATTTTCCTAGCATGTCTAGCTGGTTGCATGCATTTTTGTAGTGCTATCAAATTCCTAAGAATTTTCAAGAATCTTTTTCTGAAGAGAGGCACATGTCCCTGTGAAAACATTGCTTATCGAGAGTACAGTGGACCCTTGACTTAGAACTCAGTTCATTCACGAGGGCTGGTTATAACTCAAGTTGGTTGTAAATCAAGAGTATTTTTCCCATAAGAAATAATGGAAATACCCATAATGTGTTCTGAACCTCTCACAGCATCCCTTAATTAACCTTTTCATAATAAAAAGGGTTGTATAATGAGCATAATATATCAGAAACACCAATAATTGTCCTAGTGAATTCACCAGAAAGTTGTAAAATATGCCTAGTTTACCAGAAACAACAATTTCATACTGTACTCACCATTCAAGTTGACATCGTTGGCGTGCAGGAAGGGAGGATGAAATGGAAGGTGGTTATTGTTTGGAAGGAGAGTCCCCTTCCATAAGAACATCAGAAATCTGGCTGTCTGGTGTCCTTTCTCTCCTCAGGAGAGTCTGTAGCCCCCTGGGACCTGCTTCAGGCTCACCAAGTCCCAACCTTTTTAGAGCTAAAAACTGGTGTGAGGCTATCTGTCTCTGTCTTTAACACTGCTCTGTAGTAGGACATGACACTGTTATTAAGCAAGTAAATGCAATGGCTGGGTGGGTCTTCTCTACAAATGTGTGTAACTCTTCCATTTTTTCAAGATTTCCTTTATTTCAGAAGAAGAACTTTGCAGCACTGATGGGTGATGCGCCCCCTCCTCTTCAGAAAGCTCATCAGCTGCCATTCTCTGTTGCTGAGCCAGAAGTTGCTGATGTTCCTCTGTGGACAGCTCCTCTGAGTGTCCCTCCACAGGTTCCTCAGCATCGCCCCTCTGTACCTGTGAGCCCACGGACTCTGCTGTAGTGACAGTGTCATCAACCACAGGGTCAGGCTCAAAGTCTCTCTCCTGTATAATTTTAGGTCACACTTTCTTCCAGGAAAGTCTTCTTAGAGAGACATTGGCCCAGGATTTCTCAACCCCACACGGGAATGATCATCATTCAGGTCATAACTCAAGATTTAGTTCGTGAGTTAAAACTAAACTTCTGGGGCTGGAGATGTAGCTTAATGGTACAGTGCCTGCCTGGGAAGTGGGAGGCCCTGACTTCTATTTCCAGTACTAAAAAAAAATTCCCATCGTCACCCAAGTTATTCATATGTGAGGCCAGTCGTATCTCGAGGGCCCACTGAACTGTACTATCACCTTTAATACATCTATCCTTTGCTGAAATGCAGACTGTTTAATTTGACAGGCATACACATTGAGTGCCTGTTATTTACTACAGCCCTGCTCCCTGGTAAAATCAGAGTCAAAAGGAAAAAGAGCAAAGACAATTAAATTCAACCATCTTTTTCTTGTATGTTCCTTGTTTACTTAGAGTAGTAAATTCCTACTTAAACACATAAATAAGCATGTAAATAGCTCAGCAGGTTTTTTTCTGAATTCTGCTTTGATGAGAATGACAAGCAGATATCAGTTTTAATCACTCAGGAATCCTTTTAATTTTATGTTACAGAATCAGTACATATTCAGTCCACATTGTACCAGAAAACAGATGGCAAGAAATACAGTACTACTCTAAAGACAGACAGGCAAACTGGTAAGAACCTGATAGTTATTAACTATAGCTTAGCTAAGTCACTTAACTTCTCTGAGCTTAGGTCATAGTACTAACATTTGTATAATATATTGCAAATTCCAAAGTGTCCCACATTTATCTCTCTTGATGATATTAACAGTGAATGAATGGTCACAGCCTCACAGGCATGGTCTCCTTTAAACTGTACAGCAACATCCACAAGGGGAGTACTTTGTGTTAGTCATTTTTTGTGGTTGTGACAAAATATACCTGGGAGTGTTAACTTAGAGCAGGAAAGGTTTATTTGGCCCGCAGTTTCAGAGGTTTCTGTCCGTGGTTGACTGGCGTGTGTGGGGCTGAGGTGAGATCGTCATGGTGGAAGGGTGTGGTGGAACAAAACCGCTCACCTCAGGGTAGCCAGGAAGCAGACAGCAATGGCCAGAGAAGAATCGACCAGGAACCAGATGTAGTCCTCAAGGCCACACCCCCATGGCCCACTCCTTTCACCTTGGCCCCACCTCCTAAATTTCCATCGCCTTCCAGTAATGCCATAAAATAAGGATCTCATTAATGGATTACTTCACTGATAAAGGTAGAGCATTTGTGATCTAATCACTTTCTGAAAGCCCTACCTTCTGAACACTTGAGACTTTGGGGGGACATTTTAGAGCTAGGTGATAACTTGCTTCTACTGTGTCCGTTTGACAAATGATAACACCGAAGTTTAGCATTACAAGACATCCTATCCAAAGTATGCAGGAAGTCTATGCTTCTTTTTTGAGGTACTGCAGACTGAACTCAAGGCCTTTGCACAGAGCTACATCCCCAGCAGCCCTTTTATTTTTTACTTTGAGATGGGGTCTCAATAAGTTGCTTAGTCTGTCCATGTGGGCTCAAATTTGTGATCCTCCTATCTCAGCCTTCCAGAGTGCTGGGATTACAGGTATGTGCCACCATTCCCGGCTACCCACATCTACACTCTTAACCAGCATATTATCTTGCCATCATTTAATTATTTTTCTTACGTTAATGATAAAGTGAGCTCTCTAATTCTTGCTGGATTGAGAGAATGCATTTGAAGTAACCAGCACAGTAATTGGTGTGTGGCGCACGGTTGGCATGTACTGTGTGGTATGAGGAGGGAGGAGGGCCAGGGAAGGAGGCGAGGGGAGGTAGTGTCTCCCACCTCCCAGAGCCACTCCTGTCACCAGATTTGATTGAGCTCTACAACCTTTCCAACGATGTCAGGCCTTCCGGGTGCAGATTCAACACAGACTGCTGTCCGTTACCCTCGGTAGCTTGTGAGCACTGAGTTGTGGCCAGTCCAAATTAAGATAAGCTTAAAGAATAAAACACATACCAGATTTCAAAGACATAGTATGAAAAAAGGAATGCAAAAAACTCTCAAAAATTTTGTGTAGATGACACATTGCAATAATATTTTGGATGTATTGGGTTAAGTAACATTTTTAATGTGGCTTTTCACTCTTTTAATGTGGCTACCAGAAAATTTGAAATGACGTGTCTTGTTTTTTATTTCCCCTCAATGGCTTTGAACAGGAAGGTTGTCTGCTCAGTCCCCTTCCACTTTCCAAGCTGGCTCTCAACAGCTGCTCAAGTTTGGGCTGCTCCTTCCACAGCCGGCTCCTCCTGCTGCTGGATCACCTCCACTGGCCTGAGTTCCTGTTCCCCACCATTGAGCGCCTTTCTAGTGGAATCAAAACAGGCCCATGCTTTAGACTTGGAAATATTTACCTATTAGAATACACCAGCTAGAAGAATCGAATAAACCTTCAGTTTGCATTTAAAAACCTCAAATGGATTGATGTTATTTTTATAGGAATTGTTTCATATTTATCTCGTTAAGCATAAATCACCAGTAACACACTGTGTACACTTGAAAGAAGGGTATCATTACCTACTAAGGTTTCAGGGTGCCTGTGACGCGTGATCCGTCGTCTTTGCCTCAGAGCCCAACCAGAGGGCACGGGTTGACTGTGTTCTTGCTGCTCACTGGCTGGTGACCCTGGGACCTACAATATCGTTAAGAATTATGGAAACTTGATTTTTAAAATATTTTATCATGCCCTCTTTCCTGCCCCAGAATTGCCCCCAGGTTGGTACCACTAGAGGTACTAAGGTTGCTTTGGGCAAATAATCCCTCGAAACAAACAAACAATAAAAAGCCATGAAGATGTGCTATGAACAGTTTTCTTCTGAGCATGTAGAGATCATTACCTCCCACGACATTTTCTTTAAACATGGTTTAACTTAGTTTAATCAGTTGGGAGAATGTTGTTTTTGCCTCTTTAACTTGCCAAATTAGTCAAAAATATTTATTTTAGAGACAGTTTAAAGATCTCTGTAATTTCCAATCCGTCAGAGTTTTACAAATGAATCTCAGTTGAATGCCTATCATTGTTTCCAGTCTGGTCGAGGAAAAACAGAAAAAAAAAGTATACAATTCATCAGAATAATTAGTTGATTGAGGGGTGAGTAATTCCCAGAATAAACATTTGACCCCCTGGCACCTCATAAACCCCTGGAGTGAGAAGGATTATAAATTAAATATACAAGATGCAAAATGGTCCAGTTACACACTTAACATTATTGTGAGCATGTGGGACACATTTAGATAAGTTAAAACCAAGTGTGGGTCTAGAGTTTGGCCATCTTTCATCAGCGGCTTGCTGAAGCTTTATTAATCTGGAGTGGGGGTGGGGGTGGGGTACAAGGGAGTGGGTAGAAGACTAGATTGTGACAACAGTGCCCCCTGCTGCCCGACGTCAAACTCCCTTCCCTGGTTTCAGCTACAAAATTTTGGAGACGTGAGGGATGATGACACAGACATTAGGAAGGAAAGAACCAACCTTCATCAAGGGCTTACCACACTGCAAACATTATGTTCTCATTTAATTTATAAAGTTCGTCACAAATCTGGGGTAGAATTTTGCAGGTGAAAAAAACAGGTTTAAGAAGTTAACCCAATTTTTACAGATTTCATAGCCAGAAATGAATTAAGCCAGGATTTGGACCTAGGAGTGCCTGGCCCCAAGCCTGGGCTTCTCATACCACAGCGCAGAGGTTGGAGGCCCTGGGCATACCTCAGACTCCTAAAATATGATGTTCAGCCATCCTGGTTTGTCTGGGACAGAAGGATTCAGAGACACAAGTCTTTCAGTGCTAAAACCAGGAACACTCGGGGCAAACCAGGACAAGCTGGTCACGGTAGCTGGAACTTAACTGAATTCCACCAGGCTGGAAGGCTCCACCTGGAAAATGAGGAAGGCTGTGTGACACATCCTGGGGCACTGTTGGAGATATTCACATCTCTGCCAGTTATGATTACTTCAATTTCTGTCCCAAATCGTCAGTCAGTAGGACTGATTTGGGACAAATCATCCTCTCTAGTGGACTAGTGGAGGGAAAAGAACAGACTGGCCTCACCAGCCCGGAAGAGCTGGGGGTGAGGAACCACATCGACTCCTGGGAGCCAGGGTACTGGGCCCTCGGCTAGAAGCTTCATGCGTGGCATCTCACACATTTGTGTGTTCTTTCTCCTCAGAACAGCCCTCTGTGGCCCAATTTACAAGTTTAAAAAAGAGAAGATAAGCTCAGAGAAAGGCCACATAATTGTCTAAGGGCTACACAGCTTAAAAGGAAAATGTAGAATTCGGAATTTATTTCTACCCCAAACTGCGTGACTCTCTACTATATCGTAGGGTCTGGCTGTGACAATTGTGATATGACAAGAAATATATATCTGGCCTTCATCCTGGTTCCTGACATGGAGACCATAAGACCCCTGTAATTTCCTGAATGGCAGAGGAGGGAAGGGCATCTTTTGCTATAACATACGACCTTAGTCCCGAGTTCCTGTCAGGAGAGTGTAAGGTCTCTGGAGTTTCTGGAATGATAATAATATTTTTGTAAATTGGTGAGTTGACTGGGGCCTTCCAGATAGCTTCAGGATGGGGGCTGGGTACCAGGAGGACCAGGGCAGGATTAGTGACCAGCAGCATCCGTCTCCCATCCCTCTGGGGAAATGCAGAACGGCTGGAGATTGAGTTAATCACCAATGGCCAGTGTTAAATCAATCATGCCTAGTAATGAAGTCCTTAGACTACAGGGCTCTGAGAAATCCCTGCTGGTGAACACATGGAGGTGCTGGGAGGGTGGGGCATTCATGGACGGTGCAAGCTGAAATTCTCTGCAGAAGTGGAATAATCTATATTTAAAAATCCTGTAGACTGCTTGACCTTGGCTGCCTGAGCCTGGTGCATTGCAGAGCAATGGACGCTTACAAGTCGAGAGCCATTGCCTTGGGCTCTCTTAGACCCCTGAGTAGCCATTTACCTCAGCTTTTGTATCTACCTAACATCCTCATGACTATCCCACACTTTGCCCTGTGCATGCTTTCTGTTTAGCGCTTTCTCAGTTGTGTCTTTTATAATACAATGATAAAGGTAAGTAAAATGTTTCTCCGAGTTCTGTGAGCTGTTCTAGCAAATTATCAGGTGTCAGAGACCTTGGGAACCCCTGGTTTATAAACAGTGGGCCCGAGTGTGGGACTTGGGATTTGTGCCCAAAGTGGGGCAGTCTTGGGACACTGTGGTGTCTGTGGAATCTGACGCCGACTCCAGCCAGCCCGTGTCAACCTGGACTGAGTCAGTGGATGCCCCAGTGTCTGGAGAGTCAGAGGATTGGTGGTGTTGGATCTTACAGTCTTGTCCAAAACCCCCACACCTTTAGTGTCTGCAACGAGCATAGAAACAGATCACAGTGCTAACACAGAGCAGTCAAATATTGGGTTGTCCAGTTTATTGATTTCACTGTCTTTCATATGCTTTAAAAATCAAATAACATGACCCAAACAGTGTTATCCAAAATCTTATGCTTTCACAATGGAGGATGAAGTCACCTGCTGAAGCCCACGCTGTATGTTAAAGCTGAGACAATAATCCAGGCAACCACTCGTTCTCACCGAGAGAGTTCGCCAGGACCCACCGAGTACTGAACCTTGTTCTCTGATGATGTGTAAACAAAATAAGCAGCGTTCTTACAGCCTCATCCAAAGTATTACCTAGATGGCTTTAAAAAAATAATAATTTACCAGCCTGGATTAAATACAAATGAATGGCTAGTAAACTACTTAAACACTGTGATTTCCCAGAGAAACACAAAGGAAGTGAATTGAAAGAGAGATTTCTGGGCCGGGGATTTAGGTCAGTGGTGCTGCCACCTGCCTCACAAGCACAAGGTCCTGAGTTTGATCCCTGGTACCATTAAAAAAAAAAAGTGAGCAAGAGAGAGATTTCTGGTAGACATGGCTCCTACCTGATTTTGTAAGATGACAGGGGAAACTGGAAGGACATTCACAAAGATGTGAGCACATATATATTTGTGTAATTGGAACAGAGAAATCTTTAATAGGCCTAAGTATCTGTGGTGGTAAATACCCTACATGCCAATTAAAATGTCATGAGAAGGAAGTAAGACAATGATGTTGGAGTCAAAGAACATCTACCAGATACCTGAGCAGGCAGGGGTTGTTAGCAAAGAGGAATGGGCAGCTGGCATTTGGGTGGACAAAAATTGTCTGCCACCCCACATCTGTATAATTGAAAAAGTATCTATCGTGAATAGCTGTGATAAGATGATGATGTTTAAATCAACTGGCAAAGAGAAGGCATTCACTATACATTTACTCTTGCTTAACCGAGCATCCCATGATTATGCTTATGAAAAGTCTGTTTGGGGACGATATGGAATATTAGCTCTGCTTCAGTGTATTAATCCAAAATGTGCCTGGCACATAATAAGCACTTAAAAATCTGTTGAATGAATGAAGGAATATATTTTCACTTTCCTCTCTTTATGTAAAAGTCTACATCTGGACTCGGGAAAAGGAAAATTCTTGCGTCAACTTGAGCCAAATTTAAAGTTTAATAATAATTTAAAGATAGAAACGTTGCCCAAAGGCATACGACTACCAAACAGGTAAACCTGGTGGGGAAAGTATACTCTGTAATAGAGAAATATTTTTACAGGCGAGTTTCAGCCTACTGGCTTGATAGCCACGTTTCGCTAAAGTTACTCAACTAAGAATTAGCCAAGAAAAATTTTGTTCCGAAGATTTCTTGTTTTCTTCAACTGGTACAAATAAATTTTCCTTAACAACAGGCTATGGTTTGAATGTGTTCCTTAAAGTTAATGTCCAGGAAACTTGCTCCTCAGTAAAGCAGTAAAGATGGGGGCCCTATCTCACCAAGACGTGATCAGGCCGTGGTCTGGCTCTGCCCTCATGGGTGGTTAATGTTACCCACAGGAAATGCTGACTTGTAGCAAGAGTGGGTTGTCATAAAAGCGAGTTCAGCTTCCTTTTGCTCTCTTCTTCCTGCCTTCTACTGTGGGATGCTGCATTGTTTTTTTTTTTGTTTTGTTTTTTTTTAGTACCAGGGCTCAAACTCAGGACTTTGTGCTTGCGAGGCAGGTGGAGGAACCACTGAGCTAAATACCTGGCCTCTACTGTGGGATGCCACAGCAAGGAGGTCCTTGTCAAATGTGAGTGCTACACTCTCGAACTTCCTAGCCTGCAGAACTGTAAGCCAAATAAATTTCCATTCATTACATTCAGACTCAGGGTTCTGCTATAGCAGCAGAAAACAGACTAAGATACTTTTGTTTGTTTGGTTTGGTTTGGTGGTGGGAGTGCTGGGGACGGAACCCAGGGGCCACTGAGCTACATCCCTATCCCTTTTCATTTCACTTTCGAGACAGGTCTTGTTAAATTACCCTGGTGGGCCT